GCAAATCTCTGATTTGCGAATGCAAATCTCTGATTTGCGAATGCAAATCTCTGATTTTCGCGAGCTTACTATCTAGGATAGTAAAAAATTTTTTTTGGTGGGCGGGGTTGGAAACTCAATTGATTTTCATATTTATTAAGACAGAAGTTTGAATAGAAGGAAACATGCTTCCTATGCTATAAGCAGATAAGTCCAAAGAACGCAAAGCAAAAAAAAGAGTGGCATTTTTTTCTTTTTGGTTTCCTCTTTCCTTGATTACAAAATTACAAATGCCAGTCCCTAAACTAAAATCATTTTTTTGAACTCATGCAACTTTGTCAAATTCACTTATTCTAATAATAGAAATTAAAGTACTATTTATTTGAGCATAAGCGAGCCCACACTCTTTCACCGCCTTTTCCGTAACCAATTTACTTGGCGACGTGTATTCCGTCAAAAAATATAAATTAGTTAAAACTCCGCTATTTATCCACTTAATTGTTCCATTTTCATAATATTCCGGATTTTTGGTAGAGGGCGTTTTGCCCCGCACTAGTTTAAAATAATCTTTAATTTTAATTTCACTATCTCTATACTTCAAAAACAATAAATCAGCATATTCTAAAATAGTCTTAATTATCTCTAAAAGCCTATTATTATAAACTATCTCAGACTTAAATAATTTATCATAGACAATTTGAAATTTTTGGAGGATTTGGGTTTGTTCTTGGAGGGACGGCAAGCGAATTAGCAGTGTTGAAAGGGCTGTTTTAGTTAACATGGGAACAGCACTTCCATACGCTAAACTTTTTATTTTTTTTTCTTGGCTATGAAGCAAATAATATAAGTAATTGGGCTCAACTAAATTAAGATTAGGTTCCAAACAAATAATAGTGCTGGCAAAAGCACAATTTTTTTGCTGGGAGTAAAAGACTTTGCCGATAGTGCCGATAGTTGACAGAAGTAAAGAGTTTTCAGTGGTTAAAGTTAAAGTTCATTCAGCAACTACTTCTGGCAGGAGTTTTCTTTCAGGGTATAAAATTTGATTTTGAA